ACTTATAGCGCCTCGAAAGTCAATGAAGAAAAGTGACTTTTTTTGCCCCCCCCCCTGTATAGTTGGCAAATCATCTGAAAGAATACCCGCATATCTCATCGGAAACATCCTGCGGAACTTCATGAGATCCAGTAGTTGGGAGTACTGAATCTTTTCAAACCAAAACTTGCCGTTACATTTACAACAGAAAATGTTTGAGGACGAGTTTCGCGCGACTTTTTGGATCGGAACCCTTAATCCGTCCAACAAAATTCGCTGATGGTTTTCCTTCGCCGTATAGAACAAGGGAAACTGTGAGCTTTTTAGAGGAAAATCTGTGACATAGTTCTCTGTTGCAGCGACAATCGTTCAAAACAGCCCATCTCTACGCTTTTAGAAGCGACTATCGTAATGTTTTGGACGCTGCTTCGTGAACATAGGTTGTTGGAAAATCTATAACACATCCAGCCAATCCAACAATTGTGGCGGGGTCTATGGCCTTAGCGCACGAGCAACTCGTAGGCGCTCTCCCCTGTACAAGTGTCTGGCCTCAGTCTCTTGATTAGATTATCCCACTTTGGAAGCTCCACAGTAAGTGACGAAGACGCTGTGGGCCCCCATAAGTGATATTTCCGACGCCTTCTTACATTAGTTGCCCCGCCAACGGAAACTCAAAGCTATTTTTTCCGCAAGTTAAGGTTTACACAACCTTTTGCGTTTTTTTTTTCGTTGTGAGATGGTATTAGTATTGAATGACACGGAGAAACGATTATTGGGCTAACAGGCAGGGCAGCATCGTTGCGTGAAACACATGAGGTTGTGTGGGGTCGTTTTTGGTCGTTGTTGGAATAGGGGGGGGGTTATGCCTTCGAGACCAGTTTGCCGCATTGGAAAAAATGTTCCCCGGTTGTTGACTTTTCGCAATACCCTCCCCCTTCCCCCACCCCCACCCCCTCTCCCCCACCCCTTATGCTGTAGCTCAATTATGGCGAAAATTCGGATTCCGTCGCGGATTTCCATTTTAAGTCAGCTTCAGCTGCAGCATGTGATCTCCCTCGCATTTCCATCTAGAAATCTCGCACCTCCATGGAATGCGCCATGTACTCGACTTCCTTCCCGAACGCAGTACTCATCCTGCGAGCTACGTCCCTGCTGTATTAAGCACTGATCTCTGGGAATACGACCCCCTCCCGAGGGAGCCTAACGCGACCCCCTCGTCGCGCATTCCCTACGTATGCTTGACCATGGCCTCGGGTGGAAACAGTTTTCACGGCAGGACCAGGCAAAAAAAGCCTTCGTGAATTTCGTGGATTCTCGACCACCCAGTTTTTTCTTTGATGGGATTTCTCGACTGATGTCACATTGGCAAAAGTGTGCTGATTCCGATGAGTATTGAGAAAGGTATCATCGTTCAAAGCGAAACACTAAAAACGCTGAGAACTTCCCGGACAACCTAGTATATTGCGCTATAGCGCCCCTTCCTCACAATTTTTTGCCGCGAAACTGGTACAAGGTGGTCGTCCGAGACCGCATTCCCCTCCGACGCGATATTTCAACTTCTATACGCTGTTCGCGGTGCCTTTTAAGGCTCAACAGTTCAAACAAAGCTGACTGAAATGACGATTCAATTTGAATGACGTGAAATAAGCAGTTTCAAAACGCTCAGACACCATTTTTCCCCCAAACTTTTATGTTAGAACAATAGCCAGCCACTTCGTGGCCATCCGCGATGGCTAATAAGTCACGCTTGTCTAACAAGCAAAAAAACGCCACTGGTTTAGAAAGTTGCTTGAGACACAGTGGATTTGCATAGATTAATATTTCTATGCAGCAGCCATGACGAGCGGAAGACGAGTGCGTGGCGCATTTAACAGAAAAGTTTGTCGGCGTCCCCAAGCTTCAATTCCTAAGTTTGCACAAGCAGAAACGGATGTGTAGGTAAAGTATGACGACATTTGGTAGGTACAATTGCAAGATCCCCCTCTTGCTGGAGGAGATAAAGCAAACTTCGGAGAAAAATATCCGCTAGACGAGTTTTCGCCCTAGATCCAGGCGAGACGCGGCGTTGTTACGCAAAAAAAGAAAATTTTATAATTTCCAAAAACTGTGGTGGGCTGCAGCGCGTTATGTTTGAACTAAACCAGGGACGGTCAAACAGGTCATCCGGGCAGTTTGCAGCAGTATACTTTTGCATCCGTCTTGAGACGGTAAATCGATATCTATCTTCAATATTTCGCCCCCCCCCGGGAAAAAACCGGCTCTTCGGATGGAGTTACGCAATGCATTCCTTAGGGATGCGCTGTGCTGGAAGGCAGACTTCTATAGCGCGCGATCTAGCCATTTTTGTGCAGAACGAATGTGATATTCGTATTTAGGGGGTCAAGTTTCCCTCGGGCTCAACACTCTAGCAAAATCTGAGAAGCTGGGGGTTGGGTCAATCATAGCGCTGTAGCTACCAGTGATACTAGCTGTGGCCCACCATTGGTGACTGGTTTTCTGCATTAGCTTTCAGTCATGTCTTTTTACAAAGAACATGTCTGGCTTACGTGCTCGCATCATCTCCAACGGTTCCCTGATTCCCTGTCGGAAACTCCATATCAAGGCCAGACATGGTAAAAGTGTCGCTGCCTCAGGCTGTCGCCGTTACTCTATACCAATACCACACTTTTTCGAAGCTGGAGTGCGGAACCTCAGAATTTGGCAGGAAGCGTGTCTCAGGTGGTAATTTCAATCACTTCGAATATTGAGTATCATATCTCATTTTCAGTGCAGAAACCCTTGCGACGTGTGTTACGGGGGGAGGGGGACAAGCACAGGCTCTTTTTCAGACCACAAGGCTTCTGAAAAAACTGTATTGTATGTTGTCTGGACAGCCATGTCACGTGCAAAGCCGCGACTATTAAAAGCTCTTGTTGAAACATGTTCGTAAGAATGCAAAAAAAGTGGTTGTGGACCAACGGGATTCCGACCCTAACGCCTCTTGTCTAGTGAAGCGCGTGCTCAGTACCAAGTTTCGCTACATTGCTGTGTCACTGTACCTTTTCCTGATATCTGAGAAGACGCTTCCACGCTTCCAGGCGAATGTATGTGAATAAATAACAAGGGAAGAAAAGCCATAAATAATGAAATAATAACAAGGGAAGAAAAAGCCTGAATAACTCCGTTCAAAGGATTGTTTGGCGAATTCAGAACGTGGATTCGAGGTCACTGTCTCAAGACGCGCACAACGATACGCATTCACTGGACATGGCTGGACCAAATTGTTCACCTTTCCTGGTAAGCTGTGTTCATTGAAAGGTGAACAGCTTGCGTTTGCCGGAAATTTCTCATACGGCTTTCTGGTGGAATGCTGAATGCAGCTTCATAATTTGCCCCTCGTTTCCTGCAGACACCTCCCAAAAACCACGAATCCGGTTTACCCCTCGAAATCACTCTATTTTGTAAAACAGAATTTTTGTGTGTCGGTTTGTCCGTCTGTGTGTATAGTATGTATGTATGGTTTTTGTTTGTTTGTCGCTCCACAAAATCCTTTAAAGGCAATATGTCCGCGATAAAATAAGGCTATGATCTCTCAAATGTGTCGGACGATTCGGAAGACGATTTTTGAGGTTGCGCTACTTTCAAAATGTGAAAAACAGCAAGAACTTCGCCGCTAAGAAGCTGACTAATTAGGCCCATGGACACCCCTTAGGCCCATGCCGACCCTCACCGGCTGCTAGCTACTAGCTAGTAGCCACTATGTTATCTTTCTCTATAACATTTCGGACTGCTTTCTTCTGCTGCTATTTCTCGCTAATCAATATTAGCACTTTTTGTGCCTATTTGAGTTCCCCGTTTCCCGCAAATCGCGGTCGCGAACTGTGCCTTTAAGGGACTACATTTAACTAAAAGGAGAAAACGACCGCTAAAAACCTTTCGGTGCAGATGTATCCATCCAGTGTTCATTGCGATAACTCCACTAGATAAACTGCTCGCGCGGCAGGTGGACGTGAGTGCAGTGGTACTGGATGGGGAAGGGCAGTGGCTAAGGAACATGGGGAAAAAGGTAGGGCGATTGGGAGGGGGTGAGGAAGGGGTGGGGCGAGGGAGGTGAGGAGGTACGATGGGGAGGGGAGAGCGTTGAGTGCACTTCAGCAGTAGCACACCTGAACGGCGGGAACAGAAGCATTAGTGAAAGCGGCAAATAGAAGAAAGGAGGGATCAAGCGCTAGCAAGGAAATATCACTTTGAATTGATAGCAGATTATGGACTGCAAGGCAATCCGTAATCGAACGAACATGAACAAATTCCGTTTCCAGTATAAAGTGCGCCTGGAAAGCCAGGCCAGCCAGCCAGGGCTAAGGAGCAGGAGAGCTCGGCGTACGCCGGGCGGTACGACTGGCAAAAAAAAGTAAAAGAAGTTTTTGATCAGGTTATGCACCTTCCGAGAGGGATCGAAGTTTACTGGAACTCCAGTGGCTCACGCAACGCTCCATCTCTCAACACGCAATGCAACTGCAGAAATTGTTCGGATACTGCTACTGCCCACAAGATGGGGGAGACAGAGAGAGAGAGAGAGAGAGAGAGAGAGAGAGAGAGAGAGAGAGAGAGAAAGAGAGAGACGGCGTCATACACCACACCTCTAAAGGGGATGTACCGTCGTGTGATTTTCCGCAACGCGATACTTTACCCTGCCCTAAGCGGCTGCGAATCCACACGCCTGTTCAGGAAACGATCAATCTAGGCAATTCTGGAATGTGCCTCCAGAAAGCTGCGAGAAGCCTGATTTCGTTGATTGAAAGCTTCATTTCTCGTCCTTGAGCAAAATACTTGATCGAGATACAATTCAACAACTAGGTACAATAAATAAAAGCGCAGAAAGAACGGACAACGGCGTCCACAATGGCACTAAAAACTCACAACAAACAAATTCACACCTAGCATTGCAAAGCTGTTCTGTGCGAAACTCTTGGACGTTACCGGTGCTGGGTAGAGAACACGAATCGAAAGACGGTGAGCCAGGATAACGTCAGTGAGTGATGTCACCGAGGTTGCCTGTTAGGATTGTGGTAGGAATACTCAACTTCACGATCACAATGAAGTTTAGGACTTTTTGCGTACTTCAGTCTAGCTCGCATTGGATAAGGTGCAGCGGCCTCGTTATATTCGGGAGGTCTACTAAGATCCCTCAGATATTCAGTGTAGGACGGCGAAAACTCAAAAGGTGGTAACTTGAAGGCATCAGGACTGGCCAGATATTTAACAGAAGGTGGTGATGGTCGAGATATTGTCTTTTCATGACTCAGTGGAGGCACGGGATCCTTGTTCTCATCGGACTTGGTGCTGTTGCACGAGCAGTGGAACATTGTCAGTAGGACTGGAAGGATCACAAGACCATGTAGAACTCCTGAAAATATTCAAGGATCCTCAAAAAGGTAGTTGCGCTTAAAGACCTCGCAGTCAGCGACTATTCGATGAGGATAACAACGATAATTTTACAAGAGTACTAACCCAATAGAATGACGAGAAATATTGTCTTCAGAAAGCTCCTGAAGACGTATGACTCGGCAGAAGCGAGAAACGAGACACCAAGTATCGTCGAGGTAGCGCTTTGCAGAATCGGCGCTCCAACAGCGTACAGCGCATTACGCATTCGTTCTGACGGGGGTAAATTGCGACCCTAAACATTCATATCTGTACCACAGAGTCTTTGAATCTGCATAAATCTGGACAACTACGTTTGCGAGTAACTACGATGGGATCAGGAAGTCGTGAATGTCAGGAAATGTTATTACAACACTTCCCTGTAACAATTAGAAGAAGAAATAGACATAGGTAGAAAAACTATGACAAAACAATGGTTTGTTTCGTCCCTTACCTCAGACAAACCATTGTAATTCCGTCTACCTCGGGACTCTTCAGTGAGGTAGGATAGACGGAATTTGGACAACAGTGGGGAGGTAATTGACAAAAAGATTGAAGGAAAATGACGCGAGACTCTCATGCAAAAACATGCAATAAGAAGAAGTTTAGAAGAAGAATGGTATTAAAATCACATGATGTGTGCCTACATACAAAAGGAAAAGGAAGCGGGTTTAACTACATATAATCGCTTATAACGGCAAATTAGAAAGAGCTATATGTAAACGACTGTTGAAACGAACTACAAGCTTGGAATCGAAAAAGTTTCGGAATGAAAAACGAGTTAGTACAAAGGATCACTGCCAGTTAGAATACCCTTGACCAGTTCACTTATTTTTTACTTACTTTTTTTACTTTACTTTTTTACAGTTTACTTAAGCTTGCTCCGGCACAGGCTACTCTTCTCCAAACTTCTTACATACTGAGAAGAACACTCGAGATGATGACGGTGCGCGTATAGAGGTAACAAACAGCTTTGATAAGATTCGATGTGTTAAAGTCACGGTCCGCGATCGACGTTTGAAAATATTGCGTCAGGAGGTTAGAGTGGTCCGCGACGAACAACCTTGTGCCGGTTTCGCGGCAAAAAATTCTATGGGAGGGGCGCTGTAGCGCAATATAGGTTCAGTGGCTCCTCCTTTTTTCCAGTGACTCCGCCCCTAATGACCGACTTCCAGTGAAAAATGAGATTGCAGGACGAAAAAGCATGATAATCGCCACTTGTACGATCGTAGAAATCTTATCGGTGAATCAGCCGTGCATATGAGGGCGTAGTTTTGGAGATAGAGTTGATTGGGCACGTACAAACTGGGATCGAAATGGGGTTCTATCTAGGCAGGTGGCATGTTTTTTGTGCTTTTTTCACAGTCAAGTTACTCAACCCCTTGTCGTCTATATGGAACCCCCCTAATCCAACATCTGAGATGGCGAGTAATCGCGGGTTCTTACCTTAAGCAAGACCACCCAAAACATGAGTATTCTTCCGATTTGTCAAAATCGGAGGAATACTCATGTTTTTTACCAGGTAATCATTTACATGATGTTTATTATTCAAATGGAAGCCAGGGGTAGCGAGCTTTCACCCAATTCCGTCTCGTTTCTCCAGTCTCGACCGATTTGCGCCGATAGAAAAGATATTAAGACAGCTTAACCGGTTTCCACAAGTATGTTGTAACAATAACCTTTGAATGAAATGAGATTATGTCGAGCCGTGACACATTGGCATCTCCTAACATGCAAGCCCTCTTAGCCAAAGGAGCATTTCCCCAAGTTCTTCGCGATCCGCGGGGAAGTCGAGGAATCTCCCACAAAATTGGCCGCGTTGCACACATCTCATAGACATTGAGCGTTTTCCGATGTTCAAAGCAGTCAGCTTACAGTAATTCAGTCGGGACGTTGCCAAGAACGAATGGATTGAGCACCACTGCAGGGTTGTTGGCTGCTGGCTACAGATTGTTTTCTTTATAAATTGTTTAATAACCGATGATATAGGTAGGATGGCAGCTGGAGGCGAGGCTCATTCCGCCTCTCCTCGTACCGCCCCCACTGGATGCGACGATATCGTCTCTATGCTCTACAACATAATGAACGAACTCTTTAGAAGTGCAAAACCATTATGAATATCTTAAATGATATGTCGCAATGTAATGGGGTCACGTAGCTCAATGGGTGGCATTTAGAGATACGATTCGGGCAAGAGAATCGTAGCGTTGGCCGCTTCGCCCGCGCGCGACATAACGGCGTGACGCAGCCTCTAATATATGCACTACCCGCTTTCGATTAAAGCATCGGATTTAATGTAGTCAAGGACATGGTGGACACTTATGTCTATTTTTGGATACATTGCCTATTCTCGACCAATATCACTCGGAAACGTCTTCATTTAGCTCGGGCGCGACAGCGCATGCGACGCCCGCTGACGCGGCGAATTACGACTCTTTTGTCACATACCCCTCGCGAAGCCCACTTTTCTAGCAAAATACTCATCAGCAGCTCTTGCTTTGTGGCACTATCATGCAACAGTATGGGCTTCCAGAAAATATTCTCGAGAAATCACTTCTTAATCCATCGTTCTAATGTTGGCTTGATACACTTCCGTATGATAACCTTTTTTTCATCTTTTAGCAAAATGGTAACGTTACATGACGAGATCTTTACAAATGGTACGTTACTGACCCATGAAAGAAGCCGTGCTCAGAGGTGAGCTGTAGGTGGGCATGTGAGCGTGGACCACCATATTGTCCGAAGTCGGAGCTCGATCGAGCAATTCTCCTTGGTTATTGTATTCGAGAAAATGGTACCGACACGCTTTGGCTCGGCGACCTTCTGTTGAAGGTCAAAAGATTAGGCAAGTATCGGCCTAATTTCATTGATAGGCCAGAGTTAGTCTTCGATATAAGAGAAAGATATACTGAGAGCGTTAGTCTTCATGATACCTTTTGTTAAGCAATGATGCCACTTTTACTGTGCTTCGCTTTCCCTACGTTCAAGCCGTTCGTTCTTCTTTTTTCGCGTGGCTTTGTTACCACCAACCTCGCTCACATTTTATGTGTGGTTTGAGCCGACATTGGATGGCCTCCATACTCAAGACCCTCCGAAGGCCTTTAAAGAACCCCAAGTTCCTTTCCGACCACTCAGGGGGAATAACAATTCATTATTATGAAGCACTATGAAACAGCTTCCGTGAATTAACCCTGTTTTTCGGCAGCAGCTATATTAGCAGCAGTTTTTTGGTCCATAATTTCCATTTGGCTCAAAAGATGCCATTTGAAGGTCAAGGTGTCATAGCGTTGTCATGTGGCTTTTCGAAGCTTATTAGGCTGGAAAGAAAGCCCTGCAACATCTCAAAAAATCTCTTCGCTCAACCTCTTGGACGTAGCCCTACAATGGAGGTAACGAACGTACGCAACCACCACTAAGTTGACTAAGTTCAGGCTGCATTTATCCCTTTACATACCCACGGTCTCGTTTATGAGAGAAGATATTCGCGCTGGGCATTAGTAGCGCCATTCTCCGAGTGATGTTGGTTCAGTTTTCTCTTCACCCTGCACAATGTAATAATTCCTTGGCAAGCGTAGTGGGTGGTAATGTATTAGGCAGCCCGACGTGAACCAAGCACATGAGCTCGATCGGATCCCTCGAGGAGAAAAGGTGTCTGTGGTGACAAAAGAAGGTAAGCATAGAAAAAAAGTTGTCAATGCGTTGGTGGTAGGGCTGGGACGGGGCGGTGCTGGATAATGGTACAGCAGTGACGACTATCATACGGCCCACGTCTCATGTACCATCGTCTCATGTATGTACGTGACCGAAAAAGCCGACTGTCTTCCTTTTCTACGACAGTAAGCGCCTGCTCATGGTTTACGGCTTTAATTCGAGAATGAGATCGAAATCTTCCTCACGTCGTAACCGCCAGGATTCTGGGAGAACAGAAACGAGAAATGATCATTGAATGGACACTGGTCCGTGGTACCCACGAAAACCCACTTGTTTGTTGAAGTTCTCGATCGCTGAAGGGAAATTCAATTCAAAATTACTTCCCACGTGCTGCAGGGCTTTTTGCCAACCTGATACAATCACCGACTTAGTAGAAGAAGACATTCAGTTCTGAGAATATGAAGCTGCACTTGAGAAGGAGTAAATGACGTGTACAAGTGAAAGCGCATCCAACAGGAACTGATCTCTTAGTGGGCCGGCTAGATTTAGAATGCTTGAGCAGTAATGGTCCTTAGCAGTACAGTACACTCTCCCTCCCGTAACTCCCTATTCCTAAGACGTGTATTCATATATCCCTAAGACGGAATAGGCGTGGCATTCGAACACAGCATAGGATGAGTTACTCGTGGAATATTTTAATGTTAGTCAACTGTCATCTTGTTCTGTTTCGGACGAAGACATGATTATAATTGCCTTGAAACGAAATCATCTCACGAAAAACTTAGCTGCCGCCACGTTCAACTCAAGTACGCAGCCACGCCTACCGCATATCAGGGATTTTGAGCATGGCATCCTACATATTTCTCAGCGATGACGCCGATAAAAAAAAGTTTAAGCTAGTTAGACTAGAGACACGAAAACTGTGTGGAAATCACCTTGGCAAAATTATAAGCTAAATGAGCGGCGAAATCAACGCAGAAGCCGATGGACATGACGATCGTCACCATGCTGATGAAGTCGAGTCGAACACTCCAAAACGTCATGAAGCCGAGAATTCCAATGTTGATCGAGACAATCGAAAAAGACACCTGGAAAGGAAAAGAAATCGCAAACTTCCTTCCATGCATCGTGGTTACCTACTGACTCCGTTGGCCGGTATTTTACATTTTGAACAGGATTTCCAAAGGATAAAGACAGTTCCGCGCTCAAGCAACTCGTAGGTCTCCTACTTGTGCAAGTAGTTTAGTTCACAATCTGTCAAATTATCCTACTTTTGCGGCTATGCAGTTAGTTGCCGATTCGCTGCTGCCCTCATAAGTGGCAGTCCTGACGCCTCCTTGTCTTTCGGCCCACCGAAACTCAAAAGCTTTTTTGTCGTAAGTTCAGTTTTCACGTCGTTTTTTTCGTTTTTTTTTAGTTTCAGAATCGGAAGACGCGAAGAAACATTTACTGAGCCAGCGGCGGCAGTATATCCCTCTGCTGGGATAAAACGAGCAGGTCCGGAGAATTAGTTTGGAGGGGCTGCCACGCCTTACTGGAGGGGCTGCCACGCCTTA